TGCTGGTGTGTCCTAGCAAGTCTCCAGACGTAAACCCAATAGAGAATCTTTGGAGGGAGCTCAGACTCCGTGTTTCTCTGTGTCAGTCCAAAAACCTGAATGATCTAGAGAAGATCTGTTTGTAGGAGTGGGCCAAAATCCTGCCTTCATTTTGTGCAAACCTGGTGAAAAACTACAGGAAATGTTTGACCTCTGAAATTGCAAACAAAGGCTACTGTACCAAATATTAACATTGATTATCTCAGGTGTTCAAATACTTATTTGCAGCTGCATTATACAAATAAATAGTAAAAAAAAAAATCATATATTGTTTTTTGGTTTTTCCTTTTTTTTTTAGATTATGTCTCTCACAGTGGACATGCACCTAGAATGAGCAGGGTGTTCAAATACTTATTTTCCTCACTGTAGCCATATGCATAACTAATGGACTAAGCCATAGTTGTGAAAATAATAAAGACTCAAATATCAAATGAACATTGGTGTTTACTGACCTAAAGCTGTGGAGGCATTTAGATGCTGTAGAGGTGAAGGATTAATTTCAAAAAATGTTAAAGCAAACATGTGATCAAGAAATTATATCATCAGACTGGGATTAGGTTATAAAAAAAAACTAAAATAATGTGAACATCATCCTCTAAAAACCACGATCGAATCTAATTATGTTTGACCTGTTGGCATAATTATATAATTTTGCTTTTTGAATCGTGTATTTCTTTCTGAATCCTTTATTTTTCATTTCACAATAAGACATGGTCTAGTTCTTTTATCCTACTCTATCTATTTTACTGTATTGTATTACTGGTGTATTAAAGAGTAAAACACCCTATATCAGCTGGGAAAGTTTTAGTTTTATGCAGTATTTTTGTTTTCAGTACTGATTGGAGTCTTATATCTAGAGCCAAATGGCTGTAATGATTATTTAAACACATCAGTCTTTTTTACGAATAATTACATATCTTTCATTCATCCCTTTGGGGAACTTAAGGTTACATCACAGACACTTGAGCAAAGGTTTATAATAGACCAAAGCCCTTTTCCCTTATTTGAGTGTAATTTTGTTACTATGGTGTGTTTATCTGTGCTTGTTTTCTGTCCCTGTGTTGGTTTTTAATATTATGCAACTCTTATATTATTTAGGGGAGTCATTGGTCTGGTTCTTGCTCTTAATTTTTATATCTTGTTTTCATCTACAACTTTTTAATTAGTTATTTTATTTTTAGCTGATGCCTGTGAGTTTTAAGCTGTCGTACAAAAATGTTTCTCAGACTTTCATTTTTTGGTTTTCATCTAATTGCATTATCAAAAAACGTTTATAGCATTTTATTTTGACTTACTTAATTGAAAAAAGATATCCAGTGGTAACACACATAAATCATGTCAAGTGCAGGGAAAGTCATTCAAGCTTTGAGAAGTTGAAATCAAAAGTAGTCAAAAAAAAAAAAAAAAAAAACTAGACAGTGCAGAGGCTTACATTGAGTGGCGGGCTTGCGATACCAAACGTTTTTTATTATTATTGGTCAGCTCATATTCATAAATTGACTTTATTTTATACTGGCTCCAGTCAAATTTTTATGGTGTAAACTGGAATCTCAATCATGTTTTTCTTCATCTTCAAAGGCTCTTGTGTCCACTTCCGATCACCTTTGCTCGTTTCACAACAAACTCTGTCGCGCTATTCACTCTTATACACACACTGTCACAGTACAGAAACCACTTTAAATTTGTTTCGGTATCTATAACAAAGACTATTGTAATAAAAACATTTCTTTCCTCCTGGTCTTGCTGATGCTACCTATCTACTGTGGAAAAAACAGGGGTGTTAGAACTGTTAGGGATCTATTTAAAGATGGCACTTTTTGAAGCTTTTTTATTTGAAAACAATATTCCAGCTACTCGCTTGTTTTGAACTTTCAGATACAAGACTGTATATATTCCCTTTTTTTACCTTATCTTTCTCTTCCAAACACCCAACCAAGGGAAG